TTGTAATATAAGTAAAATAACATATATTCTAGATATATATATATATATATACATATATTCTATATATGTAGACATATATTCTATATATATATATACCTATATTATATATACACACATACATACATGCATATATATATATATATTATGTATATATAGATATATGTATATATAATATATATAATATATCATATAATATAAATTTGATTATAATTAATATACATGTATTCTATATATATATGTATATATATATATATACATATATTCTAGATATATATACATATTATATATATATATACATATATAATATAGACATATACTCACACACACATATATATATATAAAATATGTGTGTGTGTGCGTGTGTGTGTATGTTTATACATATATATATATATATATATATCATTATATATCCATATATATATGTGTGTGTTTGTATATGTGAGGATGTGTATATATATGTTATACATATATGTATATGTAGAGAATATATGTATAAATATATTTAGATTGCATGTATATTAATTATATTCAAATTTATATCATATGATATATTTAAATATAATTATATATAATTATATATATATATATATAGTATATGTCAGAGTGTATATATGATATATATATATATCATATATATATATATATAGATATGCATAATTTATATATGTATATACATGTGTGTGTGTATAATTAGTATGTGTTGTATGTATGTATGTATTTATATATATATATATATACAAATATAATGTATAGACAAACTTAATATGAATTTATACTGCCCTTAAAAGTTCATATCTAGTTGTATCACACTAATGTCTGTATATATATATATACATATATATATATTATATATATATATATATATATATTATGTTATTTTTATATGTATATGTATTCGTGTATATATACACATATAGTATTCATATATATAAGTCTTATGTATATATTCATGCATGTGTGCATATATGTATGTATATATGATGTTTTATGTATATGTATGTGTACGTATGTATATAGATATATATGTATATATGTATATAAATAATTATATATATATTTATGATATATATACATCATGTGTGTCATGTATGTATATATATATGTGTGTGTGTGTGTTGTTTATGTATGTACATGTATATGTATATATATATATATATATATATATATGTGTGTGTGTATAAATATATATATAGACATATTTACATGCATGTATGCATTGAGTTTCAGTATATATATTTATATGTGTGTGCGCGTGTGTATGAATATATGTGCGTATGTGTACGTGTATGTGTATAAATATATATATATATATATATAATATATTTACATGCATGTATGCATTGAGTTTCAGTATATATATTTATATGTGTGTGCGCGTGTGTATGAATATATGTGCGTATGTGTACGTGTATGTGTATAAATATATATATATATATATATGTGTGTGTGTGTGTGTGTGTGCATGTATAACCGCTGAATTAGTTCTGGCCTTGATTAAAACCCCCTTTGCTATTACACCGTTTACCGCTCTAGATCAGTTGTTTTGGTTGGAAATTCATTTGATTTCAGATTGGAGTCTGGCAAATTTCGGCTATAAACCACTATATTCTATATTTACTTACACGAGTTTGAGATAACTGTACGAAGCAAACTCTTACTTCTCTAAATGATTTACGTTAATTAATATTGCATCACAGCATTGACGAGTGGTCTGAATAACGCATACACTCCTGCTGATATCCCACCCGCTACAGGCAGAGTGACGACCCATCCAATAGCAATACCAGAGAACAACTTCCAATTCACAGCTTCTTTCAGCGGTTGACCGTTGCATAGACCTACTGCAATAACACTACCGACAGCCGCGTGCGTCGTACTGACTGGAATACCCAGGAACGAAGCGATGAGCACAGCAGTGGCCGTACCAACTTCCATAGAGAATCCACGTGCCGGTGTAACTTTTGTCATGCTTTGACCCATCGTTCTCATGACTGGAGCTCCCCAGATCGCTAGACCAATACTGATTCCGACACCCATCACGCAGATGATCCAAATAGGTGTATTATACTGAAACGAGGAAAAAAATGCGAGTTATGAGTTTGTTGATGACGGCACGCAACCTTCGAAGTTTACAGGGCAAACACGTGCTCGATTATTTACAATTCAGGTGAATTCAATATCATACAACACGCCGAGAGAAGTACATCCAGCTGTGTTACATACCTCCTCAGCGGTGGTACCGGTTATGTACACACCCCAGACACCAGCGACCGGTCCGGCAACATTTGCGATATCGTTCGCACCGTGGTTGAATGAGAGATAGCAAGCATTAACAACCTGACCGGCGGCGAATCTATAGATGAGAAAAAATAAGAAGGCGCGAATCGTTAGTCAATGCCATTGTATTGTAGCGACTGTATACATGACCAATCCCCACCGTATATGCACACAGGACATGCCAAGCTAAGACGCTAAGGTCAAAACATATTATTTCGTATAAATACAGACCCAGGACTTGGTGTGCACTTCTCAAACCCTATTGAACATCAGCATTACGCACCAGCTACACATAACCTTCACAACTATCATGTATATCATCACAACTATCATGGATATCATCAAATAAATCGCCAAGGATATCTAACATCATATTCTGATGATAATTCTTACCTTCGTTCCACGGTCTGATCGTATAGTGTCATCCCTTGGTTGGCATCGGGTTCGCTTTCTTCAATCATCAGATCATCAGCATTACCAATATCGCTTCCCGTCGAGCCTTTCTTCTCGATATCATTTCGAGTACTTTGATTGGTCAATTGCACAACACTGGAGCTGGTTGTCCCTACCTCGCCATTCTCGGCAGCCTCCTCAGCTGCCTTTTCTTCCCGCGCATCGATGGAGCTAACAACAGTTTTGATGAAAAGATCGATTCCGAACGGCAAGTAGAACAAGGCCAAGAAAACCACGACAGCAATGACTAAGGCCATAACTGCTCCAAGCCATGACCAGATACCCACACTGTCCGACACATCGTAAGCGATGAACACAGTAACTAGGAAAATAATCAGCGCAATAGCAGCGGATAAAAACCAGCGAGACCGTGCGAGACCGACTTCAATCTCTTGTTCAAGCACAACTTTCCTCGCCACTGTGTAGACAACGGCAGCCATACACCCAGCGAATACTGGGGAGATGATCCAACTAGCAACAATTATTCCTAAGCCCTTCCAATCTACGCCACTGCTTCCATTCTATAATTTGAAAATTACAATGTAAAGTTGGTCACGGATTACACATGCAAGATACAAAGAGACATGCAGTTACCTAACATATCCACCGAAAAAGAAAATATTTCAGAAAACCATATTTCTGAGAAATGAAATTTGTATATATCCTCGTAGTAGCAGGTAGTGTGTCTTCTAAATAGATACATCTATCGCTGTCTCCAAGGGGATACTTTCAAATATATCAAACCGACTAGCCTCTCAACAAACTTAAAAAAGGTGACTTAAGAAGTCGAAAAAAACCATACACGCTACAGAAAATCCCCTGGCGACCTATTACTAAGCCTTGAAAGTAGAACGCACCTAATACAGAGCTAAACGCAATAACTCAGCTCTGAAAGTTATAACGTTGTGAAGGTCTCAACTAGAAATACCTCATATGTGGAATCAGACTTAAAAACGATTTTGGCGTAATAAGACAAGACATACCTCTGTTAGAGCAAAGCCAACAATGGCTCCAACAACGGCGTTTGTCGTTGACGTGGGCAACGCGAGCACGGTGGAGATTCCCACCCATCCAGCGGCACCAACAGCTGAGCACCAATTTCCCAGCATCAAGAGACCGGGGACTTCGTTAAAAGTGGAGACGTCGACAATACCCTTTCGGATGGTCGTAGAAACACCTCTGCCGAGTGTGATGGCTCCGACAAATTCAAATACAGCGGCGATTGGTAATGCCACTCTGATTGTAAGGACTCCAGCCCCAACACTGGTACCGAATGCGTTTGCCACATCGTTGGCACCCATGACCATGGCGAGAGCAAAGCACGTAGGGATGGCAACTGCAACGATCCAACTCAGCGGTTGCATATCACATACTCCAAAAATCGGATCCATGCCGTAGCAGGGTGCGCCACTGATATCGGTCATTTTGAAATAAGAGTTGTGTTTGTGCAACTTCTATGATCTACTGTATACTTATTTACTGAGGTCACTTGGCATTTGCTGGCTGTTTATATACATTTTTTTATTTTAGCTTTATTGTATCTAATTCAGGTATATATTTGTGCTAATGTTTTTTTGTTTTTTAAAAACAAGGGAAATAGAAGGCTGTGTAAAATGTAAAAATATAAAAAGAGAATACTTTAGATATAAATATTTGTTGTTTAATGTAAAAGTATTGGGGCCCGGGGCGTCTCGGACTCTCGAAACTCCAGTCTCGGGTCTCAGACTCTCAAGGTTTTTTTTGTCTTTTGTTTTTGTTTTTGTTTTTACAAATTGTATATAAATTTATAAATGTAAAACTTCAGAAGTTCAGGCTTCTCCTCGACTCTTGGACAGCAACTAGTAGTCGTAGAGTCCTGGAGTCCTGGACTCCTCGACTCTTGTCACTTGTATGTGAGAAGCCTAAATATGGCATGTCGCGGTGTCGTGGACTCGTGGCCGTGGGTCGCGTGGGCTCTTGGCCCGTGGCAGTAGGTCCCGTGGGAGTTGCACCTTTTCTTTTCTTTTTTTGCGAAAATATTAAAATAGCTTCGACCAGATGTTGCTTTAAGAGGGCTATGAGAAAAGTATATATAGTTGTGCTTTGTGAGTCTGACTCGGAGTCTCGGATTCGCGTGTGAGACTGAGAACAAGAACTTCAGTAGAATCATCAGTACAGAATTACAGATACTACAGAACCCGTTTTTATTTATACTCGCACTTTTTGAATTTATCTCTTCTCTTGTGTTTTGATAAAATAATATAAATAATCAATTATCTCTAAATATAGACGGGGACATCCTAAAAGACTCAAAGAGCCGAACTTTGAACTTTCGCCAAAGTCGGTTCACAACCGGTCACGACTCACGAGTGACTCACGAGTCGTGAATTGGAACCATATTTGAATCCTTTTGTTTTTTTCTTTGCCCTGGCCCCAGCCGGGTCCATCGGGCTCACCGGCCCTGTCCTTAGTCAAATAAACTCACGCAGCCTCAAGCCGTTTCCCGTTCCAAAAACCCCTAGTTGAATCGTTTCCGTTTAACATTTTTACGGCATATATTCCTATGTAAACTTACCTAGAGCACATATATCAGGCTACCAAGGTTGCCCTGTATTTCATATACTAGCTCCTGAAATAGTCCCGTATAATCAGAAATAGGTGTAGATTTCTCAAGTCCAAATTGATATTTTGTTGACTGTTGTGAGTTGAGACCTGAAAACGTTAAACCGTTAAAAATACAAATACGTTTCCGGAATCCGGACACGCCGGGAGGAGACGCGGACTCGCGGAGTCGCGGAGTGGGTTGAAATTTGATTTGGATTTTGGATTTTGGAACTTCAATCTGTTGTATTTACAAACACCTTGTAAAAAGAGTAATTAACGATGACGCCGATTTCCGGAGTAGCCTATTGTAACGGTTCAGAAACAACGCGGTGTTGAAATCTATTTACATTGGTTACCAGCTTGCCCTAATTCGTATTTTTGAGTTATTTTATATATATATATTAAATATTAAACTACATAGGTTTCTCCCTCAATTTAAAAATGTGATATATTTTTAGTTAAAAAATCACAAGAACAGGTACAAAATTAAAGATCACAAAATCCCCAACTCCCAGACCCCAAGCCCCAACTGGCAACTGCAAGGGGCAAGGGCCCAAGTCCCCAACTGGATGTAATATTTAGGTATGTACTAAATACTTTTCTGTGAATTGACTTCTTGTGACTTGTGGGTTAATAAGGGCTATAAATAGTCCTAACTCCTAGACTCTCAATATAAATAGAATATCACTGCGCGCGTTGAGTCTGTGACTGGGAGTCACAGTGAGTGTGAGACACTTCGAACCTCTGGGGATTCCTGGGTTGCTGATTAGTTTACCATATCTAAATACATATTTTTAAATACTAATGAATACAATTTATATATTTATTTATTTTAAACAAATATATATATATATATATAATTGAATGACCTTCTTTGTTTATTTTTGTTACAAAGATTATAGCAAAATATATCTTTTTCTAAGAGCCCGCTTTGCGAAATATCGACCTATTTTCGAACAAAAAAAGTCCGGCAAAACATTCGTACCAGAACTTGGTACAAATGAAAAATTTGAAAAATTTGTGCGACTTTCAACAAAATATAGACGAATGAATATCGATTTAATGACTTTCAGAAAGAAATTTAACAACCAATAATATTGCTATTTCATTGAAAACACAAATTCTGGAGATATCCTTTTAGAGATAAATAACTTATATTTTAACTAGTCGTTTCATTAGTATAATGTTATAAATGAGCTTTGAAAGCTACTTCATTAACTGATTTTCATTGATCAATATTTATACTATTTTAACTTTTCTGGCTTGTTTTTGAAAAACAAAATCGATGGCTGACAGGTGACAAATCATACCTTTAAAATATTATTAAATATTTGCAGAAGTAGTAGTAGAAGCCGTATTGCAGTAGTAGTAGAATTCATATTGCAAAAGTAGTAGTAGAATTCATATTGCAAAAGTAGTAGTAGAATTGCAAAAGTAGTAGTAGAATTGCAAAAGTAGTAGTAGAATTCATATTGCAGAAGTATTAGAAGTCAAATCTAGAAGTAGTAATAGTAAATAGTGTACAAAATTTACATTTCATTATTGTTTTGATTGTAAATGAACACCTTGTTTAGACGAGCGAATATATACATATACAGTGAATAAAAATCAAAACAATGACTTATGATTACCTATCATCGCCTATATTGGCGAACTTTGTTGAAGTTATCGATGAATCACGACAACTGACCAGTGATCTAACAAATGTAGTTAACGATGAAATGTAGGCCAACCCTACGCGTGAAGTGGAACAGCTATCGCCGGACGAAGTATATGACGAAGTAGATGTTGTAGTAGACAAAGTAGATGTAGTTGACGAAGTAGATGAAGTACAAGCAAAAGCGCCTGAGACCAACCTTTTTTTTTTTTATGGGGGCGAGCACGGGTTAATGGAGAGCGTACTAGGACTAGCATACGTATACGTGAAAAAGCGGCAGATATATTGAAAAGGACAATCGATATTGAGATACGCGAGTAAAGAACATGATGATTAATCTTAATACTTCAATTACAAGATTCAGCAGAGTAAAACATTTAGAGGGTGCCATAGACACACGACATAAGAAACTTGTGGTACAAATGTACATCGCAGTCAAAGATTTTTTGCCACACAATAAACAATGATAGCCCCCATCGTGTGCATGAAGTGATTGATCAGAAGGCAGTGAAAATGGCGAAGCAGAATAGGCAGAATGATGTGGCTAGGCTATTTTTAAAATCAGCACTGAAGGTCATAGTGATCGGTAGTAGAAATCTAAAAGATGTGGTTGGCAGTATTTTTGCTTATTGTACATAAATAAATGTAAGATTCGGTCCAATACGATACTAATTCCTTAGGAAAAACTGGTCGAACTACGCCATTTTCGACTAAAGGCTTTTATATAGTCTTGATTATCGAAAGCATTTGAAGTCAACTCAGCTATTGGACCGTCTATAAAGCGTGTACGATAGTATGTATAGCCTCCCATATCCGTTCTCCATATAATGTCTTTAAATTCAGAACGATCAAGAGGAGCAGTATATAGCTTGAGCTTTGAGTGTACAATCCCGTATCTCATACAATCTTTCTCAGTCCTACCATTATCCATGTGTTTAAGTGCATGACTCTGTCTTAACCACTTCAGAATGTCACCCACCGATGAATTTGCTGTCTCAAAGTCTGAAGGTGATGGTTCCACTGCCACATCACTTGGACTCGAAGACTCATCTTGTCAAATCTCGCCTGTTTCATGGTCGTATACATCTGGAAAGTCGTTCA